CTAGTAGCGGACTCCTGTCACTAGTAGTAGGCTCCTGTCACTAGTAGCGGGCTCCTGTCACTAGTAGTCCTGTCACTAGTAGCGGGCTCCTGTCACTAGCAGCGGCTTCCTGTCACTAGTAGCGGACTCCTGTCACTAGTAGTAGGCTCCTGTCACTAGTAGCGGGCTCTTGTCACTAGTAGTCCTGTCACTAGTAGCGGGCTCCTTTACTGCTTAAATTTGAGTTGGCAGAATGATTTTTGGAGTGGGAGCAGGATTCAGAGCAATCGGCACAAGGGTGGAGCTTGAATAAAAGGTTCAGCTTGTGCTGAGGAGGTTTTAAGGAGGCACAGCGATGGCGCACAGGTGAAGAGTATGACACGGCCATAGTCCTAAAGGTGAAGGGTTTGAGTCCCAGCTTGTTGACCTCTGCCACATGTCTTCCTCCTATCTTAACCCCATATTCAGTCTGTTCACTATCAGATAAAGGCTGCTAGTGGCAGAAAAGGATCTAACAGCTCTGTCCTAAGATTCATTTTAAATAGTGAGCACATCTTATCTGTGTCTAAACTTTTTGTCTGTTTAAGTAACTTTTAACAAATTTTTCTGTGGTAGAGGAGGAAATCAGAATTTCACATTTTTCTTAATATATCTGTCGCTGTTAATAAAATTTGTTAGCGGTTGTAAAACCTGCAAACGAACAAATCAAGCAAAGTTGAAAAAAGAACGCCCTCAACAGTTCAGCTTCTCGATTTTACGGCATCATTCATCAGAGAGAAAATGTGTAAACTTGCATTCATGGCTGACCGTAGGACCACTGAAAGCATTTACCTGCTGTAGCGTCATAGATGTGGTTAGGAACGTCCCCAATGGCCACTGGCAGCGGGAAGAGGTAACCATGGATGCACACCTTATACTCAGGCTGGTTTGCTGCAGTTTAAACAGGCAACATAAGGAGTTATAAATCTCATCCTGTCATCATGATGACAAAAATAACATCAGAAAATGTAGAATATCCTTAATAAATTCCTATTTTTCAACCTACAGAACAACGAGGCTTTGGACGAAGGTTCCACTTCAAACATACATCGCCAGAAAAATCCCTCATGGTGCAAAATGAGCTGAGAAGCAGAAACAGACGCTGCTTAATTTATCTGGATGTGAAATAGAGGAAGAGACATCAGAAACTTTAATGTTTTAAATGTTTTTCTTGTGTCAGAAAGCAGCTCTGTGTCATTCTTTGCTTCAGTGGCGGAGCGCCATCAAACGTGGCCTGCTGGTCTGAGAGGTTTCCTGGAGGGAACTCATGAACACGCATGAATGAAACTCTCCTCTTGCTTGTCAGGAATATGATTGATGGCGCTGTGTAACATAACAGCTTTAATCATCTTCTTTTATTGAAAATGAAAGACTTTGTGGCAGTGATGAGTTCACAGGGGGATTCGCTTTCATAAATAGATCCATCTCTCCTTTTTCCACATATGCCATATGAAATAAAAGCGGGATAGATGAAAGGACTACTTTAATGATTCTCAACAAGCAGATCCGTTGATTTGAGGCTGTGGGATCCCTCCCAGGCTGTGCATTGGCTGACCATAGTATGAGTCATGTTTGATTTTATAATTGCATTCCAAAGAAACAGAATTAATAGTTATTTGGTTGCTCCAACTAAAACAAATCATTAAACAGCCTGTCACTTAAATGCAACGACATTAAACCCACCATTCATAAGAATGAGCATCTTCCTTTCTAAAATTACCATGAAGGTCTGTTTGCACTGAAATTCTAACCACAAACTTTGATGATGAGGAGTTTTTTCTGCAGATTCCTCTTTGCAAAAGCAGGTCTAGCTCAGTCTGACAGGATGTGAAGAGCTGTTTCCATGCTTTTTAAGGATTTTGGACTTTGACTAGGCCATCCCTCCTTATTCCACTAAGGTTTTCCTGGCGTTCCTGTCGCTTAGGGAGCGACGTAATGCTGCCTCCACCACATGGTTTGTGGTGGGGTTCCAGCCTCTGGTTGGGCTGTGAAGTCTTATTTTCCTGCATTTCTGAGAGAAACATTTATATTTGTAACCTTACATTTATGTACTGCTTTATGTTTTTCTATTACATTTCTTATAAAATATTGAGTTAATTATTTTTCCTCAGCATCTGCTCTGCGGCTCCTATATCAGCTCTACATATTTAGGCCTGCATAGCTTTAGTGTGTATTTAAGTATCCTAGAGACATATCTTGCATGCCACTGTTTACAAAACCCCTGAACCAGTTCCATAGTCGTCTTTTAGTGGCTGTCACATCAACTTAAATTATGGTACATCTGTTTTGTCTGAAGGAGGTCGAGGTTTAGCAGCGCCCTACCTCGGTCCGGTTAGCGTCTTTGTCCTGCGTTGGGATTCCTGGCTGCAGAAATTGTCCACAGTTTTCAATGGCTACCAGCCAATAGTCTGTACCAAAGGCCACAAGGAAACACAGAGTTCCTACTACCCCTAAAATCCCCCCCGCTAAAGCTGCAGCTCCTATTCTCATATTCTTAAACCTTCTTTGTCAGTCCTCTCGTCTGGATGTCTGAAGTCTTCAGGTTCACACTGATGTCCTCCTAAACTCTCTGCTCTCCCCTGGTCCTCTGCTCTCCGGCTGTCCCAGCCACTCCCTGGCATGCTGGGAACTGGAAGCTTAAATGGGGGAACAGAAAGTTATTTTGGGACCTGGTAAAGTTTGTCATCATCAGATTACCACTGAGTGTGTTGGTCATTCATAAAACAGGTTGATTTCCTGAAACTTTGCACTTCAAACATGCAGGTTTAAAACAGCTTTATTATTTGAAGTCACCACACAAGAAGGTAGAAGCATTTCATTCATTCAAGCCTCATGTGAATGGTTTCCATAACAACGGGACTAGGACTTTAACTTTTCTTCTCTTTCTCGCTGCCTTTAGACCAGTTTCTCCTCCTCCAGTATAAAGCTGAGTTGTTTCTTTGTGGCTCTCTCTGTCGGGGGGGCGTCCTGTGGACAAACCGCAGCAGCTTCTGGATCTACTGGCTGAGCTGCTTGGACTGATGGGGCAGGAAGCTTGGACCATCTTGGGCCTGCTGAGCACACTGCAGCAAGGGCAGAAAATACAGCAGAACTGGGTTCACACTGGGTCACATGATGAGGTCACACATTGATGGAGGCAGCCATCTTTGTTCTACGGCAGCTCGGAGCTGACAAACTAGTGACTGTAGAGATCAGTCTTTTAAATCTCTTTGGGCTCCTCTAACCTTTCAGATGGGAATATGAGAAGCTCAGCATCTTAAAGCTTAAGCTGTAGTTATACCATCAGTGTCAGATACCTGTGTGAGACCTGCTGAGTCGCGCTCTCCCTTTATAAGACTTGGCAAACTCTCCATCCTCCTGCTGACATTGAAAATACAGAAAAAGTAAACAAAATGATAATTCTCCTAAAACTTCTTTTTGATTAAACTGTGTCTTAAAAGGTTCTAGGTTCTAAGGATTTACTGGGCCTATCCTGAAAGAAAGACTCTTTGTTGATCTGCAGCCTCTTCCTGGATGGTTGTCATCCATTTCATGATATTAACCAAAGTTGCTGAGATATAATCGCACCACTTCTGGCCAGTGGTGTCAAAAGTTCACACATTTGTTACTTAAGTAGAAGTATAGATCCTGAAGTTTAAAAACACTCTGGTAAAAGTTGAAGTATAAACTTGACCTCTTTACTCACGTAAAAGTGAAAACATATGTGCTCCAAAAACTACTCAAAGTATAAAGTAACCTTTAAAAAAAAAAGCCAGATGCCGCTATATGAATTGAAAGCTCAATTTTCGACTATTTCTATAAATCCTGTGAGATAGGGCCAAGGATGAGGGAGGTCTGGTTGGTCTCCGTCTCCCGATACGCTCTCGCCTGTGTCCGACCTTTCAGACATTTCAACATCTTTTTCTGAATCCCACATTGTAGCATGGCATAGACCAGGGGTCTTCAACGTTTTCCAGGCCAAGGACCCCCAAACTGATTGCAAGATGGAGCGGGGACCCCCAATTATATTTATTGTATGAAATTGTGTTATATTAAACTGGTCCTACAGTCACTCTATTACAGATGGAGTCATGTAACGAAAGTTATTTCTCCCTGGGATTATTAAAGTATTTCTGATTCTGATTCCTGGTTGATGGGTCAGGTGTTGTGAATGAAACGGTGCCCAGGTTTGAAAGAGATCCTGTGTGTCGCTGAATGTGAGCACTGATGACTGAAAGACATCTTCTGCTTTCATTTATCTGTTTACTACAGTGTATTGAATTCATGTTAATGTGTATTTAAAGAAATTTTAATTACTGCAAAAAACTGCAGGAGGGAATATAAAAAAAAGTAATCAACCAAAACTTTCGCGACCCCCATGCAGTACCTCCGCGGACCCCCTATGAGTGTTTGCTTCATTTTCTAGGAATCTGGTCACATTTATTAGTCCTCTAAAACCCTGACCCCCCAGGGTGCAGACCAGGAAGTAGAGTCATAGTTTAACAGACCTCTCTGCAGCTTCTCTACTGTTACCCACTCTTTACTCCATCCAGACAGTGTCTTGCCCACGACCAAAATCTAATAAATTAGCAAATATTCCCAAAGGAGTAAATCATGATAATCTAATTAAAATCAAAATAACTCAAATTGGGGAAAAAGTTAAAACGATTAAATGTGGTCTGTTTAACATAAGATCGCTTTCCTCTAAAAGTCTGCTAGTTAATGACTTGATTTGTGATAATCACATTGACTTGTGTTGCCTTACAGAAACCTGGCTGCAGCAAGAGGATTATGTGAGCATAAATGAGGCAACTCCTTCAAGCTATTTAAATTTTCACATATGCAGAAGTTCTGGGTGAGGAGACGGAGTAGCAACAATCTTCCAGTCTGACTTACTGATTACTCCCAAAACAGTTTAAACTTACAACTCAAACCTTTGACTTTTAAGCCTCTCCAAGGGGCTAACCTTTAGTTTTTTTTTTTTTATTATTTTCTTTGATAGCATCTCTTTAGCAGCTATTTTCATGGTTTAAACTAAATAAAAGAACATTGAACCTTTAACTCAAAAGCCAACTCCAAAAGTTGGTTTCTAATCAGAACTATGCAGACCTTCATTATGACTTGTTTTCAGGACAGGGAGGGGCTGCTGCTATATTATTTTATGAAGGAACAGCACAATGAAGTTAAAACAAATATGTTCTTTAAAAGCTTCAGTCCCTTTAAGGTGAGTTTCCATTAATGGATTATTTTAAACATGTTTAAAGGCATTTAAAGACATGAAAAAAGCCTCACTGATTTCTAACTGTGTTCTCCTGAGTACCTGTGGGCAGAGTGTGATGGTATTATCAACGCGTCTTTCCGGAAGACTCCGATGTCTGTGCAGAGGCTTCCTCATTTTGTCTGCTGTGACTTCCTGGTGAAGGGTGTGTCTGCTGTAGGCAGCAGTCTGCTGCATGAAGACGTCACATTTATTCAGAATGCAAAAAGCAAACTCAGAGGAAGGTGTGTCTTCTACCTTGTTGTTGAAGTTGTGAAGGTTTCTGGAGAGGATGCGTCTGATGCTGTCGATTTCCTCAGGCAGGAGGGGGCGGCTGCTGGGACGAGGGTCTACTCTGAGAGGTTCATACAAAAGGGCTTCAGTTATGACATAACTCTCAGAGGCAAACTGTAAACCTCAATACATTTCCAGAACTCATCAAATGTTGACGAAACCAGTTCCCATCAAAAGTTCTAAGCTGATAAACTTTTTTTTTTAAGCTGTACATCTAAGTTTAGATTTTAGTTAAATGAAAATAGTTATGCTTACCAACTCCAACCATTTCGCTCACAGATTCAAGTGTAAATTCCACTATATATGAAGCAAGGTAGTGGTAGCATCATGCTGATGACCTGTTTCGCTGCCAATAGCCAACACATATTGGTGTTTGGACGAATCAATTCTTTTGGTTCTAGATGCTTTTCACTGGGATTTATTGATTTTTCTTATTTTAGACGCCCATTTTTTCATTGTTGTTTCTGTAGAGCAGTTTGCGGTTTATATCTCTTCAAAACCTTCTGAATATTTTTTACTTCATGTGTTTTAGAGAAAATTAGAAATAAGTTATCATTTCTTCTTCTATATTTTAAATTCACTGAAGTAATAAGTGGTTTTAAAAACGACAAACGACCAAAATCATGACCTCCCTGCCAGAATCCAGAGTCCAGCTTCACATGTTTGGGTGAGTTTTCTGAGCTGCTTTTATAAATGCCTCCTTACACTGGAGGGGCCTCATCGCCCCCCCGCTGCTCCCGCCTCTCCACCTCCTGGTAGACTCTGAGGATGCTGGAATGGGCCCTGTGATGCTCCCCAATTAGGAAACGTCGAAGATACTTCTTGTTAAACTGTTCAAACCTCAAACACACACAGGAAAAAGTTACTATGATGCTCTAGATTATCTGCTGCCACCTAGTGGCGGTTTGTGTCATAGGATTAGGGAAAGACTGAAACATCATCAGACAGACTAACCTGTCTTTCCAGTAGTGCTGCCCCCAGTAGCCAACCACATCTTCTATTCCTGACAGCAGGTGGTCCAACAGCTGAAAGGTGCAGAATAACAATTTCAATAATTATGTCATTTTTCATTCACTCATATTTAGTCAATAAAATCTGCTGAACACTTTCACCTTTCCTCCTCCTTTTAGTTTATTAATACACAGGAATTAATCAATCCAACTACACTTATACAATTTTAGGTACATATCTTCAAGTTTAATCCTAGTTTATGGTGTGATGCACTGAAACTTATTTTCTAATCTCATCTGGAAACAATAATATGTCCATTAAAGTCCAGTTTGCTACTTTGCAGGAATCTTTCTACTTCAAGCATTTTTTGAGAAAGCTGGCAGGAATTAGTCCCTTTGAACAGGAGAACGGTCTAATTTAAAAGGCTATCAGATGTTTAAACTTTAAATTTAGAGGACTAAATAGACACAACACAATCAACGGATCTAGGAGTATTTTCTACGTTAAATCAAGAGTGGCAGCAGCTTCTCCAGTGGCTGTGGGTTAAAAGCTAAGCATGACAATAAGTCAATCAAATCATTAAAATCATTTAGTTTGTGAAGATTGTTGATCCTCTAGGAGAAAGATTAAGATTAAAGACAGAAGGCAGGCCTGGTCTATTCAACAAAACATGGCAGTAATATCTCACTCCTACAAAGGCGTCACACCTGAACAGAACATCATCACATCTTCTCTAATTATGTCAAGAAAAGTAAGTTAAATGAAGTCAATGGCAACAATACTTAGTGAAATTGTTGCCATACTTTGGGGGAGAAGTTTTAAATTTTTTAGTTTAAAGCCAAGTCGTAAACATTGGAGATAAACTCTGGTAACAAGTTTTAGTGGCGAGATCCTAAAAATAAAAGGAAGAATCTGTCTTCTGTTAAAGGCAAAGAAAGAAGAGCATCAATCATAGAACCAGCCAACCGCTCCAATGTCCGAGGCGGAGCGATCTGCAGGTAAAGCTGGGCATGAACTGTACGAATACTTCACCTTTTCGGGACAATTTTTTAGTCATGCAAGAATTTTTTGATCCCGCTGACGTTCAGCCTGATGGTGCGGCGTGTAGCTGTACAGGGGGTAACAAGGGGCAATCAGCCTCTAACGACCACCCCCCCATCAGGAATAGGAAGGTCGGGAGAAAATCTAACATGTTTGAAATTCAGTCGGCCATCATAAGGTGGTCGTGAGCAAAAAAGGATTCTTCTTCTTCCTCTTACTTGTTCGTACATTTTACCTTGTTTTGATGTGTTTTACATCAATAATTGTTTATAAGTGTTGAATTGTGTAAATAAAGTGTTGTTAAAAAGTCAAAAAAGTCCTCTTCCTCTTAGATATAAACCCAGCAGCATGGCGGGGGGGCAATGAGTGAAATGGAGTTCTGTCTGTAAAAATGACAGACCATAGTAGCCACGTTTGCTCAGACATGTCTTTTTTCCAAATACATTGTCGCCTTTTCTTTTTAGGGCTTTCAGCACAAAATTTACACACAAAACTATTTGTTTGGTTTCAGGATAGACGCATCAGAGCAGCTCCATCTCACTGCCGAGCTGAGTCCGACGTGGTTTTTGGTCGCACAGTGTGGTCAGGTAGATCGCATCAGAGCATCGGGCCGAACATATATCCTGAGCTGTGAACTGTCAGGGTTTGGTTGTGGTTTAGAGGACCCAGATGCAGAGGCAGAGAAGGTGAGGAGATTTCTAGGAGTTTAATGGGGAAAAAACTGTAAACAAAGGCAGGAATGCAAAAATCCAACTAATAATGAAAAGCAAACCAGAACTATGGAGACATCTGGGTAAACCAAACACGAGGAGCCGGGGAGAGACGAGGTAGGTGGACAACAGCATGGGAGGACAGAAAAGAAAACAAGGAGCAAAGTAAAGCACAACAGAACCAAGACCATGACATGAACTCACACTGTACGACTAAACCATGCGATTAGTCGTTCAGTGTGAACCGGGCTTTAAATGAGTGAAAAGCTAATTTGATCAGATCCCGAGTTCTTCCTTGGTTTTCCCTTCCTCTTTGTACATAGAGTTTAGTTTAGTTTAGTTGAGTTTTACTAGTCTTAGTTAAGAGTGTTAAACTGAATTTATTCCATGTATGTGCAGAAATAACTGTTTGACCATGATTAGAGCTCGAATCACTCTTTCATCTATTGTTCTAACACACAGTTAGTAGGACTGTGTGTCATAAACAATAATATAACAGCCAAAATAATATCTGATTAAATAAGATATTTACCCCCCCCCCCCCTACAGGGGAGGGCAATAAACATTTTAAAGTATCAGAAATATAAATTCCCAGCTGGCTGGAAATAGAATAGAATATAAATCCACAACATTAATCTGGCATCCAACCTGGATGGGCATTGAACATAAAATCACAACACAGATGCTAAACTTTTAAAAGTAAGTAACTAATAAAAAACTGATAGAAATTAAAATCTGTTTAATTTGTCCTAATATTTTTAAAACTGTTTTTTTCCACATCTAGCTTCACATCTATAAGCTGATAAAAGTCAAGCAGCTGCTGTGGGTCAACATGTGACATCACTGTAGATTACTAGAGCCTCTACTAGAGGAAAATAGGATCTGTTATATCAAGGTTATATCCAAGGCAGAAGTAATACTAATAAATAAGTATTTCACTAATTTAACCAAGCGATGAAGGAAGTGGAAGCAGGGAAGGTTCACCCTGCTGTGGATCTCCTCACTGACTGTAGGGAGCGCTCTTTTCTTTCTCTTCACATCCAGGAGCTCCACCAGAGGCTTGATGGTCATCCCCTGAAAACCAAGCTGTGTTAGTCAGATCTAAACATCACAGATCTAACATCACTGATCTAAACATCACTGATCTAACATCACAGATCTAAAATCACTGATCTAAACATCACAGATCTAAAATCAGTGAATATGATCACTGATCTCTATCCCACCTGCACAAAGACTGTAAACAGAATCACCACGATGGTGGTTGTGATGAAGAGTCTTTTCTTTGGGAAATCATCGATGAGAAAGACCAGGGAGAAGCAGATTGCTCCTCTCAGCCCCCCATAGGCGATGATGAACTGGTCTCGGAAGGTCACGGCGTTCCTCCGCAGCTTGTTCACCACAGCGGTGAGAAATAGGACACCTACACATCAGGAGGATGTTTTCAGAAGGAGAACTTGTTTAAACACTCAAGTCGTTTCTGACATAAATACCTGTGGCCCGCATGACGAGGCAGAGCAGCAGGGTAGAGCACACGAAGGGCCAGCTCCACATGTGTATGTCTTGTATGGTGGACACCCCGAGGAAGATAAAGATCAAGGTCTCACTCACACTACTCCACATCTTCAGGAAATACTGGATGCTGGTGTTGCTGCGCTCTGACACGTTTGCTTCCACGTACTGTTTCATGGTCACAGCACAGGTCACAATGCTGCGGGGTTTGGGGGAGGAACTGTTCAGACTTTTCACAGACTTTCTGAAGGGTCAAAGTGACAGATGCCAGCACTCACGCCATGATTCCTGAGAAGTGAAGCATCTCTGAGGTCAGGTAGGACAGATAGGAGTAGAGGAAGACGAAGAGGGGAGCAATGACCTGGGCTCTGAAGGTGAACCGTGAGGTGAGAGCTGCCAACAAACCAAAGAACAGTCCCACAAAGAGGCCTCCCAGACCGACCACCACCACTCTGCATCCTCCCACCAACACATCCAACCCCGTCACTGACGGCAGCCTCAGAAAAGACTCAAACAGCTTATAGAGGACCTAAGAGATGGAGACATAAACCTTATTGTGTTCTTCAAACAACTATAAGAACAATATCTGGACAGACTGAGAGAAGCTTGTGCGCTGACCACGGTGACGGCATCATTGAGCAGCGACTCTCCAAACACTAAGATGTGCAGCTGTTCATTCACATGCATCTCTTGGAAGACAGAGAGCACAGCCACCGGATCCACTGCAGCTATCAAAGAGCCAAACAGCAGGCAATGGAGCAGAGAGATGTCCCCCAGAGAACTGGGAGCCAGCAGGCAAACCCCATAGAGACACAGGCCAATGCCCAGCACGTTCCATAAGGTGCCCAGCACTGCATACCTGCAGGAGGAAAAGCACAGGGACCTGCTTCTGTCCTGACTGTGGCTTTAGATAGTTAGGAAACACAATTTGAGTTACATCTAAATCTGAAAACACAAGGATGTGTTTTAAAAGAGCACTTTACAGCCCAGATACGTACCACAGGATGGTACCAAGGTTTTCAAAGAAGAGCCTCCCTGGAAGGAAGTAGCCAGCATCTAAAACGATGGGAGGCAGCAGGAAGAGGAAGAACGCGTCGGCACTCAGAGTGGGGGGCGCAGAGTGTCGGACTCCATAGATTACCCCTCCCACAAGGAGTCCCACCATGATGAGGACACAACTTTCAGGGACAACAGCTGGGACCCGACCTGACCAGTGGAAACCTGAGAAGGACCAGTGGAAACCTGAGAAGTTAGAGATCACAGATGGGGAAATCTGCAGATCAAAGCTTTTATATTCTTTAGATTATTCCTAAAATACAAATAAAATTATTTAACAAGAAGAACTAAAGACAGGGGCTTTTTTTGCCACCAAGATATTGGAAAACCTATTTACCAAAGTAACTATAACTTTTTTTTTGTATTATTAAATGACACAACACCAATCACGTGTTCTTCGAGCTGTATAAATAAAACTACGGATTCAGTTATTTCATTTACAAAGAGCACATTCTGCTATTTCAATTTCACTTATTTAGCAGTTTTAGCCACTTTATATTGTGATCACAGCCACAGTAACTGATCTATTTACTGACTTCATTCACCTGCCGTTCCCTCCCAGTGCTCTAATTATCCTTCATCTCATCCACCTGTTCGGTCTGCTTTATATACGGTTCATCATTATTCATCATTATTCGTTGTATTCGTGTTAGTCGTTCATGTTTGTTTATTTTTGAGTTTAGTTAATTTGGTTGAATTCAGTCCCAATTATTTCTATAGCACCAATTAATTACACATCTTAGCTCAAGGCACTTTCCAGTTCACCAGATCATCCAGTCAGATTGATTCAAAGTTTTCTATCCAAGGAAAACCAGCTGATTGCATCGACTCATTGACTCTTCAGCAATCCCTCACACTAAGCATGCTTGTAGCGACAGTGGAGAGGAAAAACTCCCTTTGAACAGGAAGAAACCTCCAGCAGAACCAGGCTCAGTGTGAGCGGCCATCTGCTGAGGCCCACTGGGGTTCAAGGAGACAGAAGCAGACATAGAAAAAGAAGCATAGATACAAAAGGCAACTGTCAACCAGCTCCACAGGCGGCCCCGTCCAGGAAACACACAGCCAGGCAGACGAGCTCCGAGCCAGCTCCCATGTCAGAGGATGAAGAGAGCACATCCAGTTAGTCACAGTCAGAGAAACAGGACTACACTGGAAAACAGGCCAAGCTCCAACATCTAGAAACAAAGGTGTTGATGGCAGCAGCACAGCTGATATTTCTCTCCAGGATGGAGTCACAGCCAAACAGGAACAGACCAGATGAAGCTACTATGAGAAAAAGCAGAGAGAGCAGAACGTTAGAGATTGAACTAACAGATTCTGCAGAGTGGGAGAATAGAGATAGAATGAAGCAGAATGATGAAAAAGGGGTCCCTATGTCCTCCAGCAGTCTAAGCCTATAGCAGCAGAACTATAGAGATGCAGCTTTTCTATGGATTTTTTAAATGATTTTTGTTATATCGTAAGAGGATTTATTTTGGTTTATTCTGTTGCGCGGCACTACTTTTCCTGACAGAAGGACGTGTGATCAGACACACAGTATCCGTGAAAAAGAAGCAACTTGACATCAGTCTGAATCATGCCTAGTAGCACTAAATGTTCAGTAGGAGACGTGGAGCCGGGTGGCAATAAACAATTCACCAAAAGTGGTTGCATGCAAAAAGCAAGTTTTGCCCAAGTCTGCCAGTGGATTCTGACAGTGTGGAGAAGTGTCTAATATTGGAGCAACAGTGATGTAGGGTTAGGGTTAGTGTTGCTAGTCTGATGTAGGGGACTTAGACTTTTATTGTCATTTTGTATACACAGAGTATGCAAAACAAATTTTGGATTTGTACAGCTCTCAAAACATTTCTGTTTCTTAAAGTGCAGCAGTGGTCGAATGTAGCGTGTATTCGTGGTCTTAGATTCAGGGTTGATGCCTGATTTGTCGTGTTCTGAACGTCATATTTTGGTGGTTTTAGTGGGAAGGAAGAAGACTATGGCGATGTCAATGAATGACTGACTTCGCTTCTTGTTAAAACCTATGCTGCACCTTAGCCGAAACGGTAGGCCCAATTTTTTTTTTTGTTCTGCTGAGCTGTATGTTATTTTTATACAGTACATTTGTTACTCATTTTAACAGCACACTACATGTTTTCGTAGTTGTAATCACCGGTAGTTGTACATATACGTAAAAAGTTCTGTAAATATGTAGCTGTAACTTGTTTTTCAAACTGTTAATAAAAGGGATGTGTTCCCAAACAGCCATCATCTTACTGACAATCCTCTTTGTGCATATTCTCTTACAAATGGCAATTAAACATTAAAACACCTGCAGCTTTTAGTCAGGTGCAGCTCATTTAGGAACAAACCAGATTTTCTCCTTATTTTAGCTTGTGCGGCTAATATTCAGGAGTGTCTTGTATTCCAGTAAATATGGTATACAGAATAAAATCATTATTGAGATCGTAAGTCTAATTAGTTTTGCTGAGACAGCAGAACCATTTAGAAATTTCAAAAAGTAGATATAGTGACATTTTTTCATATGATTTAAAAGCATAAAATAATATAATTAACTTATAAATAATTATAATGACTGACTCAGAAGCAATTGCAATAAATAAAGCTCTCTTCTTTGCAATAAATACCAGACTGAAATCTTTTTAAGGTTATGAGCTGACTGTCAACAAGCTGTTCATTCTTTTTAATGCTGTTGGTGCTGAGAGTGGGCGGAGCAGAGCGTCAGACTCCATAGACCCCACCCCTCCAACAGGAAAACTGGCCATTAAAGATTATAAAGTGATAGACTTTTCATCTTGCTTTTCAATAAAGGAAATCATTCTTTTAAAAGTGCATTTCCTCTCAGTGTCTGATACAAATTTTTATGTTTGGGGATCTGAAACATTTCAGCATGATAGAAAAGACCAAAGGTTTTGCTTTGTGCCTATATTAGAGGCGTAAACATCTTGCTTTTTCTGACATTTACACCCCTGGCCTGATTTTGATCCACTTTAAGTCTCTAAGGGTTATAAATCAATCATCCTGATGATCTGCTTTGGTTGATTTGTTAACAGTTAATATATCAATGACAAAATGTTCTGATTAAATTTTCAATTATATTTTTCAGCATTGCATTTTTTGAATGTTCTCTCCATCACATTCAGCCATCTTACTGGACTCTAACACTTCATGGTGTTGAAAATTCATAACCTGAAATGAAAGGCAGTCATTTTGCCCTGTAAATAATTCTACCTGCAGCATAATGTTGAACAGTATAAGTTCAGTTGCTCTTAGGCTTACCCAGTTTGGCCAGTGAGGCCAGCATTATCCACAGAACAATCTCAAAGGGAGCTTGCACGTGGTGGTAGTCCAAGCTGAACACCCTTAGAGCATTGGGCAGATCCACAGATGGGCTGACGGGGCTGGTGTTAAAGAGAGGACCGTGGTGAGCCTCAGGGTGCCCATCGGGTATGGTCAGGGCCAAGCAAGCCCAGAGAGGCCCAGAGATCAGCAGATAGAGAGGCCACAGGACAGCCATCCTGTATCCATGCAGAGGGCTGATTGTAGGACAGAGGTCAGAGAGAAAGAGGGAGGGCCAGCAGCTCATGTACATTCACGAAACAATTGAACCCATGCAGCCTCTAATGTGCACAGGAATCCCTGAGCTGGCAGTGACATCCATCCAACAACACACAGCACGTCTATACGCTCACTGTCCTCTGGAGGGGAATCTACTGTCCTACTTTTATTCTCCAAAACATTTTGTCCTGTCTCGGCCAAAGCCGAGCAGGTAAACAGGATGATCTGCCAATAAGTATTTTTACCCATAAAATAAGATAATTAGATATAATGCCATTAAAATAGGAGACTGCAGTTTTTGTTTTATTTCTTATTTTAAATTTAACTTGTCGTATTCTATTCACAAAGTGTCTCAACTAAGAAATGTTCCTAATTAGATTTTTTTCCAGCAAGTTTAAACCTTTAGGAACAGCTTTAGTGTTTATTTAAAGGTCGGTCAATGAAATTAGCAATTCCAGGTTTGGAGCTGAGAAAAATTGTGGATATGATCTTGGCGCTGATGGCTGGCTTAATTGCTCATTCCATTCACCTGTCTACTGTGCCAGGTTACTCATTACCATCCATCCGATCCACCTGTTTCCAGACGCTATTTATGTGGTCTGTTTTCCTGCCATGCGTGCCAGATTACTCGAGCTGTGTGTCACAGTAACTCTAGCGATTCTGTAACTTTTCGATGTTATGATCCTGACCAGTTTCTGCTGTTGGATGTCCGAGTTTTGCTTTGACCCTCCTTTGCTCTGTTAGCCTGATCTGTTCTGGACTGATTCCTGGATTCTGCCGGCTTACTGACCTTGGACCCGTGTCCTGCCTTCGGCTTGGATTGTCCTCTGCTACCTCTTTGTCTCTCTGATCTTCTGGCCTGGAAACCTGCTTCTGCAACGGCTCCAGTTTTGGATTTCCCCCCACGGGTACTTCTGCTCCTCCATATTTCCTGGCTTCTTCTCATCAGCCCGCTCAGCTCCTCACTTGGAACTCTGGGGGCGGCTCCCGCCACAGGCTGTGGAGAGAAAGCAGCTGTCTGGTTTCTACTCCATCCTCTGGGCTCAGAAGCAGGTTAGTCACTTAGATAAATATTGTCGAGGCCCGTTTGAGTTTTCAAAGTCACTAACCTGAGTTTCTATTTCTACACAGGATCCAGTTTATCTCCCCCTGCTGTTGAGCGTGAGCGCTGATTTTTAATAAACGCTTGTTTTGATATATCCCTGTATAGTCTGCTTGAATTCTGGGTCCAATGTTCTGAGTGCCTGACAATACATTAATGTTCAGACAACAAAAAAAAATTAGTTATCCACCTTTTTAAGATGACTTCAAAGTGCTTTACAGGGGACTGTTGGCCTAGTGGTTAGAGCAGTGTCCTTGTGCTCTGAGAAGGTTGCAAGAACCCGGTTCAATCCCCACAGACTGCCACTCTGGGTCCCTGAGCAAGGCCCTTACCCCCACACTGCTCTCCGGGTGCCACACAATGGCAGCCCACTGCTCCTCAAGGGGATGGGTCAAAATGCAGAGAATGAATTTATCCAATTTGAAATCAATAAAGTTTAATTTTTTATTATTACAGGACATTCAGTCATTCATAGACTGATGGCGGTATGTTGCATTGTAGCCACTGCTGCCCTGGGGCATACTCACATAAGCCAGCGGATGGTCTGCCACCATCATCAGTGGGTAAAACCAGTGAAGTGACTTAAAACAACTGAGATGATGAGCTAATGCATCCTACGTCACTTTTCCTCCAGCGGCGGCCATCATCATCAGAAGGGTTTTAACTTTGTCAAATGTTATCAGCCTAAACTCCAAACCATGGGCTGCAAAAGATGAGGTTTGGCTGGAGATTCACCTTCCTGCAGGACCACCAAACTAAACATAATAATATGATGGAATGGCCATTATGGCTCTAGCCGTATGTTTAGAGACTACAGCCATATTTGCGGTTTAGACTTTGGATAGAACTAAATCCGATGGTACAGTCCGCTTTTCACACCAACAGATTAAATTAGTTTGACATCATGCAAAGTCTGAGTCAAATCTCAGCCTCTTCAACTACAAAAGTAGAACAAATATTGCTTCACAAATTATTACATCAGAGCTGCTGGATATATCACAATGCATCACATCGTCAGGTTTCCTTTTTGATTTAAATCATCAGGAAACCTTTTTACCTTCCGCTGCTTTCATTGCATAAGGACCAAATCCAATATAATAAGGTCTGTGGGGGAAAACATGACAAAATGTGCAAAATAGCAAGCAGTCAGGGACTCCTTAGCAAGGATGACATGTAGTTAAACTAGTTTAGAGGATATTAACGGTAGAATCAACAACTGTTTCATAAATGCTTATTTGACTTATTTGCAAAAGTCAGAGGTGGAAGTAATGGATTAAAAATACTGTAATAAAGTAGATTTTCTGGGTAGTTGTCTTTTAAGAGTATATTTTATTCATACTTAACAATTTACTACTGTGTTTGTGTTGTACTTTATTTCTCTCATTGTGCTTTTATCTTTTGTTCGATGACCTTAAGTGTCCAGAAATGTGCCTTTGAAATAAAATGAATCACTGGTGAGTACGCCCATAATTTGCATCTCCAGGCCACCTGCTTTCATCTACATCTTTTTATCCATCAACTCTCCTGCACCAAGGAAAAACCTCTGCTGCTCACCAGCAGCAGCTCTAGGTTTCTGGAGGTGACATACAAGAGCGAAGCAAAGAAGCTCAACCCAGAAATGGAGATGGAAGACAGAGGTGATGAGAAAAAGATGGTGTCTGAGAAGCCGTGGTCGTCCCTGGAAGAAGTTTTCAGGAGATGCTGTGCAAACTCTGTTTTAACACTAAAATGATATCATCATATAGAACTTCTACTGCAAAAACAGGTACTTTTACCTGAATACACATTTTCAGGACTCCTTCCACCTCTGGCCAAAGCTAATCATATAAATTATTCAGTTTATTTTTCTAGGATACAAAATTTGAGATATAGGTCCATTTTTCTTGAATTAAGGGTAATGTGTCTTTATTTGAGCAGGTAATTTGTCAACGAATAGGAGGATTTATGTTAGAATAAGATAAACATAATATTGTGTGTTCATTGTTATCTGAACTAGTTTAATTCATCCTGCCTCATGGGGAACATTATTTTTCTTTGTCCTCCAAATCAATTTTTAGATGACCTCAGATTCACCTGTAAGTCTTCTTTAGAAAGACGTTTCATGATTAGACTGCTGTGTCTAATCCACTAATTACTCAGAAACCTTAAATCTCCGTTTCGCATCTTTGTGGAGGATAAGTAAAGCGTCTCTGGCTTTTACAGCATGATAACTGACTGAGCTGTGAGGGATTCACTGATTCTAACTGAAGCAGTCAGATCGTTATGCCTTACAATAATCATCAGGAAGCTTTGATAGAAACAGACGATTAGACAGATTTTGTCATTTTGTTTGTTTGGAAAAAGCTCACTGGAAAATTTCATCTTTTAAGTGCAGCCTTGAAAAATAGTAAAAAGGACTGTAAAATTACAGTTCTAACATTTTAATATATATATATATATATATATATATATATATATATATATATATATATATATATAATGATAAAATATAATAAATCTAATAATAAAATAAAACACAATAAACCATTCTGCAAGACATTCATTAGTGTGATGGCGGGGGGGGGGGAAGAAGCTGCTGCAGGGAGAACATACAGACTCCATGCAGAAAGACCCCAGGCCGGGAATCAAACCCGGACCCTTCTTGCTGCGAGGCAGCAGAGCTACCCACTGAGCAGCCCACCTTAATGCTAATCCATTTAAATTAAATAATCCGACAAGCTGCAAGTATTTAGTAAAATTCAGTTTATTGAAAGTCAGGCATGTGAAGATGGATGTAATTCTACAATCAGGCAGCAGATGTGCTGGAAAAGCTGCTCTGAAGCAGCAGGCATCTTTTCATTAAGCAAAAACAACATTAACATTATAAAAAACCGATAGAATCCTTAAGACTCAATGAAAAAATAATAAAACTTTACTTCATCACTTTGGCAGAATGTTCCCTGAAAGCTGATGATTCTCCACCTCTGAGATCCTTAAGACAGGTGAGCTGAAGGTAGATGAGCAGGGAGCTACATTGTTGGTGCTCAGGTAACTAATTCTGTCCGTACTCTCCACTCCACACCCCTCCGCTAGACTGGCCTCCAGGGAGTCTGAACCATTTAACTGGCTACCAGGCTGGGGCGGGGGCACCAAGCCATGCAGAAGGCTGTGTCCAAAGTGGGAGTTACATCTCACTAAGTTATCAGTCAGGTGCTGCATGTAAACCTCTTCCAGCTGTTTCTCCAGCAGACCATTCAACACAGAGTTGGACATTGGCTCTAAGCCTGAACCAGGGAGGTCTAGGCTGATGTTTTTACCTGCTCCCATCACCAGATACCCCTGGTCTGGGATGGACTCCTGCTGGATCTCTGTTGACAGGTACATTTCAGGGTCATCAGAATCCTCTTGGTTTGCCACGGTTCTGGGAGGAATGTGTGAGATCCGGCCAGAGTCGGCCACCTGCAGGTCTGGATAATGCTCCAAAAGGCTGCAGTCTTCTATGCAGATGGGAGGCAGGGGGGCTGCAGGGGAACAGCCAGGAATTAGGAGACCATGAGGATGACGTTCCACCCTCAGTCTCTGGGGTTGGTTGCGGTCTGGCTCTTCCTGGTTTGGCTCTGATTGCAGAAAAGACATTGAATAATTCCAGAGTTGCATTCAGTTTCCCTAAATCTCTCTTATTTACTATTTATTCACTAGTTTGTTTTGTGACACATGTAGCTTGAATGCAATATTGGAAGAAACTCAACTATAATTTGAAGTGTTAACATAGAACTGCTAAGATGTGTCGTATCTGATGGAAGAGGAAGAGCTTCGATTAGACAGTAAAAGAAGTTAGACAGGATAAGGGCGGTTTAACAGTTAAGATAACCAGATTCTGGTTCCAGCTGTGCTATTAGCTAACAGCAGTACTGAGTTCATTTACCTGCTTCAGCTGAATGGATCCTTGGTTTGGCCTCAGAGACGGAACCGCTGTGCTGGTCGGCACATCCTGAGCTCGTCTGACATCCTTTGCTTTGGGAAGCTGTAGCAAACCTTCTCTTCTCCCTGTAGCACATTAACCTGAGAAAACCTTCAGCCAGCATATCTCCAGGAAGCTCCTCTCCTCTGCTCCGTCCTTTTGGTTTATTTTGAGCGATATTCTCAGTTGCAAATGGCGGCGTAGCGCTGCAGACGTATGATGCAGCTCTTCAGCCCTGTTTCACTTCTGCATTTGAGAACAGGCCCTCACCTCTCACTTCCTTTATTCACATGAAGCTAAAAATCACAGAGCTAAAAAGAAACCCAGAACATTTGGAAAGAAACAGGAATAAAAATATTTAATAACCAGTTTTAACATCTCAGGAGGCAATTTCTACAAAATCTATGGGATCCCCTCCCTGGTTGATGCTTACAGATCAAAGTTTTAGCTCCAGACAGTGAATGTCTACCCAGCTGAAGACTGGGTGCTCACTCCATGACCATTTGCCAATAATTTGCTGCTTTAAACCTGTTTTTGGGTTCTTGAGACGCAGGGAGCCTCCTTCTGAAACCCATCTAGTGTTCTAGCTAAGGCCGGGCGTACACTGTGCGATATTTTCAATCGTTGCACGCAGCTACAGCTCAAACTGTACGATGAGACTGCAGGGTTTAAAAGTTCACAGCTCATGATGTTTGTTCTCACACTGTGCGACCCGACGCTCTCATGTGATCTACCAGCTCACACATCAGACTCACCGCCCAGACTTGGCGCTGGTCGGACTCATCAATCTGGAAGAACTCCCTTGTTTGCACATGCTCAGTGCTCGAGGTTCTGGTAAATCGGCTCGTAGCTCTGCTTCAACAGCAGGATTTACCCACAAACACCTCAGGAGGACCGACTGAATTTCAAACATGTTTGATTTTCTCCAGACTCCTGATGGGGAGGTGGTCGTTAGCGGCTGATCTTCCCTCATTATCACCCGTACACTACACCATACAGGATGCACCATGAGGATGAAACAGGGCCTGAAAATTCTCGCACGACTGAAGAATCAGAAAAGGACAAAAATTCCTACTGTGTACGCTCGGCTTAAGGAAGTAGTGAAGGAGATGGAACCAGAGTAAATGAATCGTTCCGGCAGGGGAGAATTCAGACTAGACAGATTTTCTCCTTGGATGATAAATTAATATATATCCAAAGCATATATCTATATTTATCCTAAAGGCTTAGACTGCTGGAGGACATAGGGACCCCTTTTTCATCATTCTGCTTCATTCTATCTCTATTCTCCCACTCTGCAGAATCTGTTAGTTCAATCTCTAACGTTCTGCTCTCTCTGCTTTTTCTCATAGTAGCTTCATCTGGTCTGTTCCTGTTTGGCTGTGACTCCATCCTGGAGAGAAATATCAGCTGTGCTGCTGCCATCAACACCTTTGTTTCTAGATGTTGGAGCTTGGCCTGTTTTCCAGTGTAGTCCTGTTTCTCTGACTGTGACTAACTGGATGTGCTCTCTTCATCCTCTGACATGGGAGCTGGCTCGGAGCTCGTCTGCCTGGCTGTGTGTTTCCTGGACGGGGCCGCCTGTGGAGCTGGTTGACAGTTGCCTTTTGTATCTATGCTTCTTTTTCTATGTCTGCTTCTGTCTCCTTGAACCCCAGTGGGCCTCAGCAGATGGCCGCTCACACTGAGCCTGGTTCTGCTGGAGGTTTCTTCCTGTTCAAAGGGAGTTTTTTCTCTCCACTGTCGCTACAAGCATGCTTAGTCGCTGTAAAAGAAATTACTAAAGAGTCACATTAAAATGCAGACAAATATCGTCACCATGGACTCATCTCTTATATAAACAAATTGATGTAATCAACTGATTTTCCTTGATCTGACTGTAGAATCTGGTTGAATTATCTCTATAAAGTGTCTTAAGCTGACATGTATTGTGAATTGGATCTATTTAAATAAACTGAATTGAATTAGAATAATGTTCTTGCCCAGATTTCTATGGTACATAATGTTAGTTAGCTTATCAGTTTGGTCTTACTACTCACTGCAGAACAAAGAGAAATTACACAGACATGTTCTACTTCAGGGGTCCGTTTCATGAAGCAGGTTTAACAAATTCAGATTCAAATCCTCAACTCTGAATTGATCTAGCCTAAAGTCAGGAACTCAGATTTCGGTTTCACAGCGGCTGCTATCAATTAGTTCAATCAGGTCCACTCAGATTGGAACACGTGCAATAAGTATGAAAAGCCATTATCAGTGGAGCACAGATTCGCCGAGTCACCATGACAACAGGCAACAGCAAGCGCCTATTTCACCCCACTGGAACTAGAGATTAGCATTTAGAAATGAAAAAAACATCTAATTAAAATCAAAAGGGAGAATGTGTTTTACAGACAGAGAAACAGCAAAGCAGATTGTAGCTGGAGTTAATGTGTAGATTTATACGAAGTGATCTATGGCAGACAGTTTTACATTTAATAAAACATCTCTCCTCTGTTGTTCCATTTATAGATCAATAAAATAAGATTCTTCCTGATTAAAATCCCACTTCTAGACTAAACTGTAATAATATATTTTCTAAATTACATTTTTGTAGCAGAAACTGAATTTCATCTTAAAATTATATACTAGTAAGAATTAAGTTTTATATATCTAGAAATGTTTACACCTTTTAAGTGGCCGTTCTGACATTTATCAGCTTGACTGAAAATGTATTTTTGATATCTGGAAAATATTTTTTCATAGTTAAAATAATGCAAATGCCGACCAGTAACAATAGGAAGATGGAGATCTGAAATTCATTTCTAGACATGCAGAATGTTTATTCTAGATGTGGAGAATGTCATTTTGTTTATAATGGTCATTTAGACAAAGGAAAAAGGACTTTTTCAGATATCAGGAATACATGTTGCATAAAACTAGTAAATATCAAACCGGCTTGCTATAGTCTGCTGTGACCGCGGTAATATTACAGGATTATTTCCTGAATGGTCGTAGATCAATGTATCTGTTTAGGTGAAATCACCATGGCAACAGTTCAAGATGAAGAATAAAAATGTTCTAATTTATAGAATCTGTTGTTGATTCCGTCTCTTTAAACAGTAAATACTAAACGGCAGTTTGGATGTTATCATCCCAATAAATGGCAGTTTGGATGTTATCATCCCAATAAATGGCAGTTTGGATGTTATCATCCCAATAAATGGCAGTTTGGATGTTATCATCCCAATAAATGGCTGTTATAAGCGGCTATCAGTCTCATAGAAAGGGTTCAGATTGTGGCAGTTGGTTCATTAGGTTGTTATCACCGCATCCTAATCCTCATCCTAAAGTAATTTCCCCCTTGGAATTAATGAATCTATTTAATTAATCTGTCGATAATTCTTTAAAAAGATCCTCGTCAAACGGACATGCAATGTTTCTTTTTAAAAACTAATCTGTCTAACGGACCTAGGGAATGATTTATTAATTTTTTTATTTTTATGCACAAAACTACGACCAAAAATCTGAGTTAATCAGGAAATAAAGCTGTGCGATTGGCTGTAAGGAGAGCGGAGAAAAAGGACTCTGAGTTTACTGAAGAAAACCCGCTGCTGACCAGGTTAGCTCTGGGAGGATGTTACTATGGCAACAGATACAGAGGATGAACCAGAAAACTCAGTTTCCCTGTTTTAAGGTTTAGAAAACTTAAGAGTTTTTGGTAAACCTGCTTCGTAAAAGAGACCCATAAACTCTGAAGTATTTGTTAATATTTGTCTCAACCTACTAAAGCACACAGCTCCAGTCAGTGTTTATGTCTATAATGGTAGGATAGAAATGCTGTGTTCATAAATGGAAGGTTGCATTTTCCTAAATCCTTTAAGTTCAATATTATGGTTCAGTTTTTACTGCAGGATGTTTGAGGTTTTCTAGAGAGAAGATTCATTCAAATCCCAGTTTGAGAAACTATCGTTTTAATCCAAACAGCCTCCCGTTCTACACATTTTCTGAAAGGGTGTGAGGAAAGAGCGGAGGATATAAGGCCGATTGACCGGCAGTCAGGTTTATGGTTTATTTTAATTCAGGGGGGACATTAAAGAGAAATATGAAACAGAATGTTAAACAAGATTTCTCCAAAATACAAAGACAGCAAATAAAACAATAATAATAACGACAAAAAAAATCCCTCATTTGGCCATTTTGGCAGGTATTCTCATTTCTAAGCAAAGTTTGCTATTAAATCAGCATTAAGACAATATCAAGTAGGTAAAAGCAGAGGCTAATCGTTTTTCCAGAAAACAGCTGGATGTCTGGAAAGAGTGAAATCTTTGATTTCCAGGAATTAAGACTTTTTGGGGATAATAAAACCTCTGATGTGCTGTGAAGCAAAGATAACACCCTGGATCAGTAACATTAAGACTCTTGTTTGTTCTTGATGATGAGGTTCACATATTCATGCTGCAGGTGACTGACATGTCAATATGCTAATAGGGTTAGCAGGCGGAGGCTAACTGGCTGAAACCCTCCATGCTTTCACCGTCTTTCACTGCTGCTGAAAAGGCACAGAGGAAAAATAAGGAAACAGGAATGAAGTGTCTGAGTGGGTGAGTCTTGTTTTGCTCCAGGTCTGCGTTTTGGAAAGGCCTGAGGTTTAAGGTAGAAACGGCGTCAGGATGCTACTGCTGTGCCTTCTTGGCTAGAGCCTCTGCTTCCTGGTGAGAAAAAAAAAGAGCAAGAAAGAGAAGGAAGTGTGTTACAGTAAAATGGAGGATATTGGTGTAAATATCAGCCATAGAAACCACTGTTTCTATGGCAACGCCTCCATTTCCACTTCTAGCAGAGAGGAGGTGCCAGTGAGCAAAAGATGAGGTGTTCAGTAATGTGAAGGGTGTGAAGGCCATTCTACTTAGTCCTGATCTATGTGGTTTCAGTGCAGTTTGCTGATGTGTCCAGCAGCTTACCTTGGAACCTGGGGGGGCAGTCAGACCCAGAAATGCATAGACAGCATTGTCCTCCCGGGCATCGAAGAAGGCCTCGTAGTTCTGAGGAAGAGAAGATGATCCGGACTAGATCACTAGATCTTTTAGCATCTAGATCTAAAAATCCTCTGAAAGGAAAAACCTGCAGCTCCTTCAACAGGTTTGAATGCATGTTGAACTTTTCTGACATTCTAGCCTGTTAATAAATAATTATCTTGTTGAGATATTATGTGATTAATTAACATTAAGTAACATATAATTAATGGAAGCATAGATTTATATAATAATAATTTACACTGAATACAGAATTTAACTGCACTTTGCTCAGGACTTTGACTAGGCCATTCTGACATGCAGATAGGCCTTGGAACTAAGTCATTCGTTGCCAGGCTGTATTTTTGGATTGCTGTTTATTTTCATCTATCCTGTTTAGTGACTGATAGATGCAGGTTCATCAGTCTAACTTATCCATGAAAGCTGCTGCCAAACATTTGTTAACTAATCAAACATCGTTGGATAAAAGGAATTTCAATAAACATCTGCCTCATTCATGACTGAAGCCGATACAGAAATACCAACTGGCTGCTGCTGAAAACAAAGTCCAGTGGATTGTTAACTTTTTTTGGAAAGCTCTATCGGTCTTTACCTCACCCAGTTTTGAAACCCTGTTGAAGAAAAGCCGTTTCTTCTGCCAGCATCCTGGTTCAGCCTAGGGATGGCGTGTTCAGGCTGAGGCACACGGTTCATTTTCTCTCGCGAAGTGATTTGTTTGCTGGCAGGAAAACCTACATTGATCTGATCTGACCACCTTCATCCATAAGTTTCGGTTTCCAGCCAAGTTTCTTCCACCTGAGCAGCTCCTCCAAAGCCACTGTTGCAATCATCGCTGCACACACACTTTGCTGTCTACAAATACGTTGGAAGTTCAACTGAATCAGCTCTCATACTCCCTTCACTTACATGTAGTTTCCAGCTGGAAGGAGAAACTCTCATTCCTGATTCCTGCGTCTCAGTCCTTTATTTGTCCTTCTTTCCCCCAAACACTCAAACACACCCAACAGTTGCTGATATTGTGGGAATTGCTGCACACTTTCTTCTGTGACATTTAATCCATTCTGAAAGAGCATCTTCAGCTTCCTTTACATCAGAGCAGCATGAAGCCTGACTGCTTGTAATCAACCATAATCAACCTGAGCAGATCTACTGTTTATTAATGACATTAGATTTTGGTATAAAATATCATTTTCCTTTATGTTTGAATTAATAAATGAATAAATGATTATTCTTGTAAAAAACCCATTTAAATGATATATTATAGAAAATGGATATATGATTATTATATGAAAGTATATCATAAGTATAATCTAATGTAGAGACGTGGAACTTATTGAATTATTCCATTTCTTCTTCCTACCGTCTATTTTCAATCAATTCCTACTGAACTTATGAATCCAATCAACATTTCTGTACATAGAAAGTTTCCTGCTTTAACTCTGAGTTTGTTTAATATTAATACTAATGATATTCTTTCTATGTTTGATTTTATTCATATTTATAAATGAGGGTTTATTCTGTAACAATGCCATCCCTCCCTCTCTGCCGTCTGGTTGCTGTTTATTTCAGATTAATTGGTAGAATTTAATCTCCAGCTGATCAGAGAGTTTAAACCAACAGGAATGAAGCATTAATGAAATATTGAGGTGATGATATAAACGATCCTGATGGTTATTTTCAGCGGCGGTCTGACTGATAACCTGTAGGTTTAACCAGAGACGTCCACAAAAGTTCAGTTAGGGTCAAATCAGCAGAGAAAATGGAAAACTGATTCTGATGCTGCAGTTTGAACATAGAAATAGAATAGAATAGAAATAGAACATGTTGGATGTGAAGCTGCAAGGAAACACTGATATGTTCTACTCTTCTCACTCCGATAAAGTAAACAAGCAGACAGTTTGAATCTATTTATGCCAGTTCTATCACGTTCTTAGAAACATTTTCCCTTCTTTTACGGCAAAGTCGGCTGTTTAATGCTAAGAGGATTTTCTAAACAAAACAAGCCTCTGATTTTAATTGCTGGTTTTGGTAAATTTGTAAATAAAAGAAAAACCTTTTCAAAAATAAGAGTTAAGATATTGTAAAAACTAATAAAAATCCTGCAAATAAGTTTATTTGCCCTTAATTCAAACAGGCTAATATGATGGAATGATGATAGAAAATTATGCTCTATTATCTTATTCTATTTACTTGATTTGTTTGTCAGTATTAATGTGCAAAGTTCAAAATAAAAGAAATCTTTCTAATAAAATGTTGGTCTTTGTTTTCTGCCTCTTCACCCAAAACGAGCAGGAATCCATCAGGTGTGGAGGCCAGTTAAACCATTCTCACTGTTAACTGAATGTAAAGCTGCGCTCACCCCGCAGTATTTCTCTTCATTAAAGATCTGGGGGGGCAGAGGGTTCCCCGTGGCAGGTCTGGACTCCTCCGGAATATTCTCTCTCATCCACTTCCTGTTGGACTCGTTGGCAGCGATGTCGCACTCCTCAAACTCGATTTTATTAGCCGCCAGGAAGCCCATCACGTCCTGCTGCTGCTTTTTAATCTGTGTGTGTGTGTGTGTGTGATTTTATTAGCCGCCAGGAAGCCCATCACGTCCTGCTGCTGCTTTTTAATCTGTGTGTGTGTGTGTGTGTGATTTTATTAGCCGCCAGGAAGCCCATCACGTCCTGCTGCTGCTTTTTAATCTGTGTGTGTGTGTGTGTGTG